TTGGATTATTTGGACTGGCGGGAGGGATAGGGGGAGACGAAAGGGGGAGTGGGTAGGTTGGGGGTAACCCGAGAAAAAATCTGCGTTGAGGGGGAGGGGGGGAGATGGCGTGAAGGATACTAGATAGTGGAAAGGAGGGGTGGGGAATGGGAATGGAAAAGGCTGGGTGAGAGTGAAAGAGGACAAACCAGGAGAGGCGCGGCAGGGATTGGCGAGTAGACCGAGATGGAGTAGATGGCAGGGAGAGTGGGACAGCAGAGAGGAAACGGAGGGGGGGTAGTGTAGGGAGACACGGGATTTTACTGTGATAAGAGGGGAGGGGTGGGACTACCGTAGGCAGGCTTCAGCTGGGTGGTTATTGGGGTTGGGAGGGAGGGGGGAAGCGAGTATGTTTGGTGGCGCAGCTGGGTGAAGGTTTGTCGGGGGGAGAGATTTGAGTTACGAGGTCAGCATATGTGCTGTGTGTGTGTGTGTGCGTGTGTGCTGAGAGTCGAGAGAGAGTTGAGAGGGAGTGGGGGGGTTGGGTCTGTCGAAAGAGAGGTGAGGACCACTTTTGGAGAAAAAACAAAACACGAGACGAAGGGGGGACGAACTTGGGAAACGCAGAATGGGGAACTCGTTAGTGGAGAGGAAATCATGCCCTGGTGGTTTTGAGAGATAGGGAGGGGGAGTGGTGAGACTCGATCTCACTCGATGCTTGCTCTTTCTTAGGTAGGTCGTATCTTTGTCGTCGTCGTCGTCGTATCATTGGCCTATTGATGATTTAACCAACAGCCTCCACAAAAGCCTTGTTCAATAGTCACTTCCGGACAAACGCAAGAGTCGATGCGACAGGATGATCCTTGTGTAGCCCTCCGAGTGTTCCTTAGTTGGGGAGCTCGTTCCCACCTAAAATCGGTCTTGAAAGTCCCCCCTTCCCTAGGATTGTGGCCAGACGAGTGACCGTAGTTTCTCCTAGGTCGTCACACTCTTCCCCGCTCGTGATGATGGCCTAGGCGCTCCCGCGCCCGGGCTTTCTTGTCGTTATCGATGAGCTATGGCTGTTTCATGGTAGGTGATGTCGCTGCTCCTGGTTCGGGTGAGGCGCGCTAGGCGCGGAGTCCGTCGTTTTTCGAAATGAGGAAATCGAAACACGGATGCGCGCGCGGCAGGGCTGCGGGCGCGAACGCGGAAAAAAAAAAAAATAGCGCTGCTCTGCACTAACCGGGAGGCGCGAACCCGAACCTGGTCCCTTGGCAGTGGAGAATGTTAAGACAGATATTAGTTGCAGTCAGACCACGGAGATTGGCAGGGATCTCAGGCTGGTGTGCCTGATGCTGGCCAACAATTTGCAGGTCACCCAGATGGTGTTGCATTGCAAGGCCAGAATGTCTTGGGCTGTTTGCTGGTCAGTCATTTGCAGATCACCCCTGACAGTGTGGTCTGTGTGGGCATATGCTACTAATTACTGAAGTGAACTTCTAAAAGCCATTGCCATCTGGTAGAGGGAAAAAGCGCAAAGCGGTCACTTTGGAAAACAAGAAGATGGTGTTTTTTGTTTGTTTGTTTGTTTTAAAGGTTGTGCAGGCTGAAGTATAAGCAGGCCCTACCTTGACAGCCAGCAGGGCGCTCAATGGGCAAGACACCCCATACAACATCTACACAGCCTTGCGATCGTCCCCCCCCTCGGGGTGCCCGACAGGGGATGCAAATGCACTGGAGGGGAAGACAACCGCTTCTGGCTCTACGTACGTCTACGTCCGTTCACAACAGCCTTACGGCTGCGAATGGAAAGATATGAAAAACACCTAAGCTCATTTGTTCCATGGTATGTACTATAAACAATTCACCATTTTAGTAGTACGCTTTATAAGGAACATCTATCATTTTGATTTGCAGTGTAGTAAATACTAAAAAATTAGTAGTCTGCTAGTAATGACATTTTAGACTAATTTTTAGTACGATTTACGGCATTAGGTTGCCAGCACTTTTGTCAAGTGCCTGGCTGGAGGGAACAACTGCAGCTTGCAGCTTGGAGTGGGTGGCTTACAAACTTCTTACACTTCTTCTTTTTTACTCATCCAAAAAAAAAAAAAAAAAAAAAAACAACCCTTCTCACACTTCTGCCTTGGAGACCTGGATGCAGGTGTATGCTGAAAGGTTCACAGCAGCATGGCTGCTACCATGCACACGTAATCCCTAGTACGAACCAGACATAGCCATGGAACCATGGTCCATAGGGCGATCAACTTGAAACTTCCGGACATGATGTGCAGCACCGCTAGCATCGAGATATTGCTATGAGCCAGGCATAGTCATGGTAGACAGACCAGAGATCCCTGCAAACTACCATCATCAACCAAACATAACCCACATTCACTTTCCCAATGGGCCAGAACACGAAAAAGGATGGATGACGATCCAGACACCGCTCAACAGATCAACAAGGAATCCTTCATGACTCGCAGACTCGGGTACTGGGTCATGGCAAAATAGTAGAAAATTAAATAGTGAACAGAACGTTGCGATGGAAATGGTGGTCAGATAATGAAGATGATGCTGCAGCCGTTGTAGCACAAACAAATACAAGGGCTTAAGGTAACGTGTCAACCGCGCCGAGGAAAGTTTTTTTTTTTTTTTTTTAAATACCCCGGTGTGTCCTTGCTAGGAGAGGTGGTAAGAAGGCCGAGGTAAGGTTTTAGCAGGCAGAGTAGGGTTCATGCCACTTCATGGCTTAAGGGGGGGGGGGGATGCAGCAGGAGACGAGTGTTTAAGGTTTAGGTAGCCAAACGGGTCAGCAAGGGGTGTTGTTAATCTCCAAAGAATAGAGAATTGAAGAAGAGGGGGGTTACTTTGCAGTTGCGATCATGAAGCGAAACTACCGTCTTCCCCCGAACACAACGCACCCTCATTTTGCCTGTATCGGGCCGGAAACATATCTTGTATACGTTCATTTTCAGGGTGCGTTATGTTCGGGGGAAGACGGTAGGTAAGGCTCCCAGCAGTTTGGTGAACAGAAAATCTAGTAGACAATAGGCTAGAGGGATAGATTCTGCTCCTTTTACTGTTTTTTTTTTCTGTTTTTTTTTTCTTTTTTTTCCATTTTTTCTGTCATCTTTGCTTTGCTTGGGAAGTAGCATTTGATTTGGGCCGCTGGAGCCGGTTTCCAGCACAAGCCGAAGCTGGGCAATGACCCCAGTCCTCTGGGTTGTTTGTGGAGGGATTCCCAGCCTCCTTTCCGCTTTTTCTAGAATGAAAAAAAAAAAGGAGAGGTAAAAGAGAAAAAGAACGCACATTCACTATAATAGCTGTATTTGCAGCTAGTATCAGTCTAAATACAGCAATAATGACCATGCGTTCTATTCAGGGGAAGACGGTAGGTGTAACCATGCTCCACAGACTTCTTGAAAGGGCTGGCAACTTGACTTCTACACATAAATGTGCAGCACGGATACCGTCTTTGCCCAAATAGAACGCCCGGCCATTATCGCCGCATCTGGACTGAAAAATGCCCCAAATACAGCTATAATGACCGGGCGTTATATTCGGGTGAAGACGGTAGCCTCTGGACATTTCTATGCACCAGGCTGTAGACATGGTAATAGACAGACCGGATGTCCCTGTGGACCAGGTGTAACCGTGCTTCACAGACTTAAGGGGGACAGCAACTTGATTTCCGAACCTCTAGTATGAACCAGGCGTAGCCATGGTACACAAATCGGACACCACTGTGAGCCAGGCGTAACCATGATTCACATGCTTCTTAAGGGGGGCAGAAACTGGAGATGATGGGTATGAAGTACTAAGAACCTGGCATGCATGCATGCACATCAAGTGCCACGGAGCCGTAGGACAGTTTTCTGAAGAGGCTGTTTCTTTTTCCAAATGTGTGTTTGTGCCAATATTGACATGTGTTAACAGTGCTATGATCCTGTCCAATTCATGAAGCAAGACTCAAACTTTGAGACAACAACAACAGCAACCAGGACAACAACGACAACAACAACGACGGTGGCAATGATGGCAGCAACGACAGCGGCAACAACAACGACAACAACGACAACAACGACAACAACGACAACAACGACAACAACAACGGCGACGACGACAACGACGACAACGACAACAACGACAACAACGACAACAACAACAACGACGACGACAACGACGACGACAACGACGACGACAACGACAACAACAATGCATTGGTGGTGAGAGCGCTGCTGAGCGAATTAGAGAGGGAGGAGGAGGAGGAAAAGGAGGGGGAGAATGAGGAAGAGGAGGACGAGCTGAAGGAGATCATAATGGAGAGAACAAGAGAAGTGAAAGGCACTGAAAGCGTAGTGACTCTGAGTCTGCCTTGTAGCTAAGTGGTACACATTTGGATAAACAGGTCATGAAGTGCAATCCTGAAGGATACAACAATAATGCTAGGGCCTAAGACCCTTTTACTTTTGGTATTGAAAAAAAAAAAAAAAAGTGTCATGGTTCTTCAGAGCTCACCTGAAACTTCAAGTCCTGATGGCATTGCAGAGCTTGCCTCATCTTGTCCAGTATCTCTGGTGGTGCAAGGGGTGGCTGCAGTATCTCTCTAATCACCCCTACAGGATATTCTGCTGTTGATCCCCAATACCATACCTGGTTAGGGACAGGTTGCTCCAGAGCCTATATTTATTATATAGACATTATAGCAAGGCCAAAAAGCCCATTACAGCCAAGGCAAACACCAAGGAAGTCAAACACCAAGTCAAACACCAAGGCAGGCAAACACCAAGGAAGGGGCGAACACCAAGGTAGCCAGAATACTCAGGCGAAAAAAGGAAAGGGTTTAGGGGTTTAGGGATTTAAGGATCTATCCCATGTCACTGAAAATACAGATCTGATTAGGTCACCAAGATCTGACTTGAGAGAGGGCTCCCCAGCACGCTCTCTAAGACGTAGGATGAAATTGCAGTTAGTTCATGCCACCGACTGGAAATAGTACCAGCCCTTCACTGCTTTAGCTGGCGCCCTTCTCTTGAGGGTGAAGAGGTACAGATGGCAACAGAACACTATATAGACCTGCTCAGTCAATCCCCTGGGTTTCAAGGGAATCAATGCTGGCAGGGGCCACTGTCACTGTTCTCACTGTTCTCGAACATTCTCACTTTTCTGTGTAAGGGACGCTGGRCCCGTTTTCCAGCAGGTGATGCTCCCCACCAATAGATGGAGCCTCCCCACAGGTGTTAGTGGTGTCTGCTCTTACCAGCACCACTAACACTGATGGGGGAGTGTGC